TGCTGAACAAACCTAAAATTTGCGAATTTAGCTCGTTATATTTAGAATTCGTAATTAAGAGAGCTGATTCAGGGAAACTGAAAGAGTTAATATTAAGTATATATAAAGAGAATATGAAAAAATAACTTATATTTAAAAGTCTGTTGTTGCACACTTTCCCGATGTCCATTTCACCGACAGACCATTTACTTGTCATCACATAGAGTAGGTTAGTTTTAGCTATATATTATTAGTAAATTATCGCCTTGATTATGATAAACTGCCTTATAATTCGCCAGCTATCACCCAAAAAGAAATGCAAAATTATTAAATTTTGAATCTTGGGCCCAACGATCCGGTACTAAAATAGTACCGCTTTTATTATTATAACACGATATACATACTGTAAACACATATAAGCTGAGTGTTACTAAGAGAATTTACTAAATAAATAGATTTAATTTTATGTAATAAGTTTATAATCAATCATAACGGTAAGATGTACAATTTCATTTTTTTAATTATTAATGTCCATTTACTATAATGAATAAGCAAGTATAGAATTTTATTTATTTAATATAAGAAAACTAGGAAAAATAAATGTTTTTCTAATATAAGCAAACTAGAGAAGAATTTATACAAGAAATTTTCTCTAATAATTCTACAACTTCGTAATTAATTCGATTATCTTTAATACTCAAATAAGTCAGAGTAGTATTCTTATAAAGACTTTTTGCTATCGCTTTCCCTCCATTAATACCAATTTCATTATGACAAACAATTAAAGAACGCAAGACTGTGTTATTATAAAGTGCTTTTCCTAATGCTTCACCACCTTCAAAACCAATCTGATTATTGCAAAGATTCAAATGAGTCAGAGTAGAATTTTCACAAAGTGCATTAGCTAATGCCATTGTACCCTCAGAACCAAGTTGATTACAATCAAGTTCCAAAGAAGTCAGTGTAAAATTTTTGCAAAGAGCTTCTGCTAATGCACTTCCACCTCTAGGACCAAGACAATTAAGTCCAAGAGTTAAGGAAGTTAGGGTAGTATTATTACGAAGAAGCTTTGCTAGTACCTTTCCTTCTTCAATACCAATTTGATTACTATAAAGGTTTAAAGAATTTAGAATACAGTTTTTATAAAGAGCATTTAAAAATGCACTCCTTCGTTCATAATCAAGTTGATTAGGACCAATAATTAAAGAAGTTAAAGTAGAATTTTTGTAAAGGATCTTTACTAAAATATCTAATGCTTTCGATTTAAAATCACCACTAACATTAAAAAGTTCTATAGAAGTAATAGTAGTGTTCATATAAAGATTTTCAAATATTAAATGATTATAAATAATTTCATCAAGACATAAATATTTAAGATCTTTACTAGTTCGTAAGAACATTGCAACCAAAGAACACTTGATAGCATTTGTAAGTTCATATCCAGTTGTTTTATATCTTTCATCATGAAGCTCATGAATCCAATTTCTAATACCATCATGCAAATAATTGTTAACAGATGTAATATAACTTGTATATTCTAATAATGGTTTTGGATGACTTGGAAGGATAATTTTAAAAGGAGTTAATAGAGCTTGCTCCTCAACGTTCAACGCTAAAAGGAATATGTTTATAAGCCTTATATCTTTAAAATTATCTTTTAGATCGCTCCATAATATTGGAACAACAAATCTACACCATTGCCGGTTTACAAGAACACATGAAAATAAGTTTTTATACTTATGTCTAAGGTTATCGAATATTATAAAGTTGCATTCGTTTGGTAGCTTTGATATCATATTTGTATTGATTGATAACCGATCAGAACTTCTACATGCGTACGTACAATTTTTTTTTATAAACGTTTCATATGTTGTGGTACAACTGTGCGTTATCTATAATTAGTATACTGATTATCAGAACAGGTTTGTACGGGATTAATTGTATACATACTAGCATATCATTATTCATGATTGGCAGGCTGAGTTTTTGGTTTATTTGGATAAGCATGATTTACATAATAATGTGTGAGAAAAAAATAAAGACGATCATACCAATTGCTGATAATTTTGTGCGGAATTTGAAAATTTAACTAATGTAAAAAAAACTTGTCAGGCTATTGTAGCAAACATAGCAAACATAATAAATATTTTTAGCTACAGTATTAGCCGATCATTATTTATCGATTTGATATTTTTCCAGTATTTTATGTTCGTTGAATTTCTTTTCGGAATTTTTCGAGAGGGCCAAATTTAATTGGTTGCTGTAATGTTTTTTTAATTAAGTCTAACATAAAGTCGACTACAAACACTAACTACTAGAATAGAATTTAAAGGGATAACATTAGCTTGTAAAATGACATAGGAAAATGTAACAAAAGCATAATGTATGAACTATTTAACATTATGTCCTGGATTTTATTTAGTTTTGAAGGTACAATTTATTAAATAATTGAATATCAAATAAAAATGTGCAGAAACAGATATTGGTACCGGCCGGCTTAAATCGTAACTAACTAAGCTTATGTCGTAACTAGACATAATCTTGAAAATTTCTAAATTTATACACCATGCTGCTATATATATATGAGCTTTTGAGCGTGTGCCTAAAATCCTTTTCAACATTTATAAAATTCGCAATTCTCTTTACAACGAATCGCCAATAGTGTCATTTTAATGCCATTCTGTTATAATTAGGTCTATATATATTATCTGCAGTGTTCCTCTTAATGAGTTTAGCTTAAATTAAAAAGAACTTGTGACTATATCCACTTTTTTTTATAAAGTCGTATTGGTTAGTTAATTTTAAAATATATGCATTTAATACTATGAATAGAAGCAAAATTGTTATTAATAAATAGAGAGAGTTCGTAAACACTGACCTGATGACTTGATTGGATCATTTATTGCGGTTTGCAAAATTATGAGAAATTGGGCATTAAAAAAGGAATCACTGATTTCCAAATTCTTTATCATTTTTTTGACTTTTATATTAGATAAAATTTACGCATTTATTATTTTGTAAAAATATATTATTTTTTATAGAATTAAAAGTGTATATTCATCATTTTGTAATATATTTGCAAAAATAGGAGTTATGCATAAAAATATTCGATCGAATTTTTACAAATGATAAATACACAAATTTTGTCTAATCTAAAAGTCCAAAAAAAAAAAATGATAAAGAAATTAGAAATCAGTGGTTCCTTTTTTTAATGACCAATTTCTCATAATTTTGCAAACCGCAATAAATCGAGTCACTCACAAATGTTTAAATTGCATTTTTACCATCATATCGATATGTTTTTTAGTCCCATCTGATTTGCACATGTTATTTCACTCTTCATGTAATCAATTCTTTCATTCACATGTTCCTGCTAAAATTTTATAACATTAATAAAATAAACTGTTGTAAAAGAATGTTTTTTTTTTTTAGGTTCGAATCTAAAACAAGTGAAATAAATTTTTTTTAACAAAAATGGAAAAGCTCATGTTGGTATTGATATATAAATATAACCACGAATAAACAAGATATAATGATAACCATAAATTTACAAAAAGCTCCAAAATCACGAAGATGAATCATCCAATCATATACATGAATCCGGATACACCCTTTCACTTTGAATATAACCATACACTTTGATTCACTCCGTTCCTGGTATAATTAGGCTAACATAGCAAATAATTACAAGCGATCTAATTTAAGTAAAAATGGTAAATGGCTGTTACATTTTAAAGCATTATCCAAAATAAGCAAAAATAAAATAGAATTTGATGGTATTAATCGATTTTAACTGCATACCTATTTTTCTTTTTTTAAAAACAAAATTATATAACCAAATCGGGTTAAGTCACTCTCGATTATATATTTAATTTTTTTTTTTTTTTTAGAAAACATGTGTTGATATATGTCCATGGTCAAAATAGGTAAAATCAGGAAAAAAACGAGGCTTACGCCCTTGCAACTAAACTGCAAATAGTACACAAAACCGGATAAATATCATGTCATGTGAAAGGATAACCAATCAGAAGAAAGTATTTGTTGAACACCTCTGATAACCATGCATTCCATTCCTGGTAAAGTTGGTTCTTTTCTTACCAATCCACATTATGTTTTCGTTATCCGAGAAAATTTCAAAGTCAACCAGATACCCAATTATGGTTATAGGCAAACCCGAAATGGACTGAGCGGCTTGGATGGCTAAAAAAAAATAGTTATTGATCTTTATCGATCGTTATTGTTATTGATACAACGCAGTAAGTTGACAACCCAAGATTTTGCAGTTTTTACATATCTCATATGTCACATATTACAAAGGCCATTTCAATATTTTATAAATGTTATGCCTGTATATTATCTGTTGAAAATTCAAATCACCAACAATGAGTGGGACCAACAGTTAGTGGGATCAAAGAGTTTAAATAATATTGAATAAATTTGAATAGATGAACGTTGCGTTTTGTAAATTAAAACCGGCAACCTAATCATTTGTAAAATGGCTTACAAATTGACAATGTTTTCCTATAAATACCAAACTTCTGCAATAATGCGAAGCGTCAAATGTGGCAGACAATGCACAAAGAACTGCATTATGGTTGCATATAAACATGGTGCATGAAATCTGATTCTGGTACATACAAATAAAATGGAGCGGGCACAGGTCCCAGAACCGGTTCTTTTCATAGTAAGAATAGATTAGTGAAAGAAACTAGCTTTCTGTACATAGGGAAAAAGAGCAAGGAAAATGTTCTAACTCTTAATTTCTTAATCAATGTAAATAGTCATTGTGAATATAATCAATAATTGATCAAATAGCCTAATAAGAATACGCCATAGAGTGTCCTCTAAAAGGGGCTCAAAAAACCCCCCGGCAACCTCAGACCAACAATCACTTAATATATAATACAAAAAGTCAAATATTGTGAATTATTTAATAATCAGTAATCAGCGACAATAATCATTTAATAACTAATAGTAAATCAAAAAAAGAAAATTTATTATATGCTAAAAAAGTATAACAGTTAATTTCTAGGCCAAATTCTAACATTTAATTCCTCAACTAAATTAACTATTGTAGATTTAACCTTTAATGGAGCATTAATATCAACTAATTCAATATCATACTTTCTGAATAGTAATACCAATAATGAAAGTATTTCCACCATTGCCAACTTTTTTCCAGGACAATTACGTAACCCAGCACCAAATGTAATCAAAGCAAATTTATGCCTTTCCTTATAATCTTTTTCATAAAATCGTTCAGGGTCGAAAATTTCAGGATTAGACCAATGATCTTTATGCCAATGAATACCATTCATGTTTATATGGAATACTATATTCTCATCCCAATGGTATCCACCTACTTCACAAGGATATTCAACATATCTTGGAAATTCATTTCCAACAGGTCTAATTCGACTAGATTCCTTAATTACTGCATCACAATATTTTAATTTTAATAGGTCATTATATTTCATATTAAAAGGAATATTTGGAGGAAATATCGAATCGATTTCGGCGACCATTTTTTGTTTGACTTGAGGATTAAGGCAAAGATAATAGCATATAAAAGAAAATGTACTTGAAATCTAAAATTTTAAATAATTATTGCAATTAGAGTAAATTACGATAAAATTATGATAGAATTATGATAGAATTAGAATAAAATTATGATAAAGGTTATGATAAAGTTACGATAGAATAATACATACAGTATCAGTTCCACCCAAGAAAGCATCAAGCAAGTTACCTCTAATTTCAATATCAGACATTGGTCTAAACATATCACCTTCAACTTTCTTTGCATTATTTATATCTCTTTCAGTATTAGCAGTAATTAAAGATGTCAACATATCATGCCTTAATTTGGTACCTATAGGAGTCTCTTCAATCTCTTTCCTTCTTTTCTTAATCATATTATCAATTAAATCAAATAAATAATCACGATTGTCGAGCAATGCTTTGACCTGATATTTATAAGGTGGCACGTAATGACGATAGAATGAACCAAGGTATATAAAAAAAGTGAGACCCATAAGGTGATCACCAACAGATTGAATAAATTTTTCAGAATCTTCAATCAAAGTATCAGATCGAGAAACTTTTATAGGACTCAAAGTATTATAATATGAAGCCATCGAATAAGATCTTTCACCAGTTATCAAAACCACAAACATATCATTGGTAAATCTACGAATCCATGTTGCTAAGTCAATTTCTAAAGACCAATTGTTGTTGTCTTGTAAATTATCACCAGATAAACTTAAATTAGCAAGAGATTTCAAATAATTATCGAATTCAGGAAACAATTTATCAGCCCATTCTACAATTTCATGATTAAAGCTTGGAGATAAGATTGCTTGATTAAAGAAATGCCGATTAAATTTCCAACTGTTTACATCATGATTTGCTATTATGCCTTTTCCAGCCATTCCAAATTCTTCTAATGCTTCAGTATACGGTAATCTTAACAAGAAAGTAGGATCTTTAGATGAAGCGGTTAACATGGTTTCAAGATATTCAGGACGTGAAATCACAATATTTCGTACTCCATTAAGGTACATTTCACAAAAGTCACCATATTTTTGTTGGAGTAATGCAAATTGTTCCTTAGTATCACTCATAAACATATAAGAGCATTCTATAAAAGGAAGTGGTAAAGGTCCAGGTAATCTATTAGGACGTGTAAAGTATTTGTAATAAAATCGAAATACATAGAATAAAAAGGAAAACACAATTAAAATAAAGCAGTCAGTAAAGTTAAAAAGGTATATAAATGATTTGATAAAATTTGAGACGGCCATTTTACTAAAGAAATTTTCGTTGAGAATCAAATAACAAAAACAAAAAGATGATTTTTGTCTATTTATATGAATTAATAATAAGATTATGTATATGACGTGACAATGGTGGTACCTTAAACTATTATTTAACATCGCTATGCAAGGGGGTTCAGCCATTTTTTTTTTTTTAGCGAATCAAGATATACATCAATATGAATCAATATCCTAATAACAATAAAGCTTTGAGCTAAATGAAATAGTGATAGAATCATATGTGAAATCGAAATAAACAAGTTGATTGTATTTGACGTAGCTGCTGACGCTAGAGTAGTTAAATATATGTTTATATCGATATTCCCACTACGCCATGTTTCAAATTATGTAAGTTACTAAATCTGTTTCGCACGGATAATTATGAAAGCAACTTACTGCATAATTTTTGTGAAGATCCTTGAGTAATAATATTATCTGCATATCTCATGTGTCATTTATCGATTTATGTTGATTATTAATTGACTTAGGTCATTGTAAATTTGAAAATTAGTACGTATAATAAATTTATATATTCAAACTAAATTTTGATTCCATGAAATTTATTAGCTAAATGACTAGTGCAGGGAATGTGTAATCTGAAATAGGCACGGAGATATCGATTTTCTAAATTAAGAAAAATAAAAATAAGAATTGTTTTTTAAGAAAAATACCAATTTTTTTAAAAATAATAGACAATGTTAAAGCAATTTTGTAATTTTTGAAGTATATTTTATGAATATAAAGAAAATATGAAAAGGTTTGTTTTTATAAATGTAAAATATGTTGTATGTTATACTCCATTTTTAAATTCTGTAAATTGACATATCTCATTTATTTGTTATTTTATGTTATGTACTTTTTTCTTTGTAATATTTAGGGATTGGAACGGCTTGTGTTGACTCAACTCAAAAGTCATAATAAGCTGGCTAATTTTGAGCCATTCCCATCCATGGTAATATTTATGAATTCACAGAAGTGAAAACAGTGCTTGAACAACCGTAACTATTGTAAAATGAGCACCTATTACAAGTGTTTATCAAAAATTCTAAAGAATTCTTAGTAAATAATGGTTACAAAATATTTCCAGACAAATATTCAATAATTCGACATTGGCTAATCCATAATATTCAAAAATAACTATCCATTCATGAAAAAAAGTAATGTTTTTTGTAAGAAGGATAATGTGAAAGAGTTTTATGTATTATAGCAAATTTTCAAAATATATCTATATATGGATGGTAAAAAAAAAGTTTTAACAGCTTTTATACCTTTTTTTATTGGCTAACTATCGAGGAGTTTCAGAATTAAACGTGTAACAGCTCTAGCATCGCCTATAAAAAATACCGCTGACGTCACGTTTTATATGAGTGATGCACATAGGCAGAAGTTTGTCTGATTGGTAAATAAATTCAATTTAATTTTACATTATTTATACAGTTTAGAGTACTTTTTAAAAAACCATAATAAAGTAAAAAAAAAACCATATAGAATGTTTCATTAGAGCTGTAGGACTCTATAGTCAAAAATAAAAAATTAGCTTAGTAATAAGTTGATTTTATCGGGGTTTGAGAAGTTATTACTATACTAACTTTTTTAAACGGACG